CAGATTCACAATCACAAACTATACAAAAGTAAATAAGTATACATAATATAATTATAGATAAAATGTTCACTTTTCGTCAAAAACAAAAAAAATGTTCACTTTACTTTCTCCAAATGGTGGAGGGATTTTTTTATTTCTATCTCTCGCTCGTTTTAGTCTGCAGATTTGCCTAGACATTTTTCAGAAAGTGTCAAAGTGGTTCTTGACGAATGAAATATAACCCTAACAAGTAAAAATCAATTTATGCCTCCTTCCTTTGGTGTTGGGGGATTATTACGTGCATGGCCGCCTTTTTTTCCTTATTATGAGAAGCACTAAAATTTGAGAATTACAGCACTGTTCTGAAGATCTCTAATTTTGTTCAGTTTTTAATTGAAGAAATTATTTTGACAAATATGATAGTATATATAACATTCATGAAATCAATTTTTTTTTTTTAACAAAATCGATGACATTACAAATAATGAGTATTCTATTATATAAATTTAGATGATCTTGTAATCAGAAATTACAGATATATATTTTTCAAGTTAGTTTAATAAAAAAAAAATCGATCAGGATTAATGTACAAACCAACCATTATTATAGGATTCCCTTGTCTCCATTCCACACGTCAGATCATTTTAGCAAACGTACACATGTTACAAATTTAATTACATACAAAGTAGTTGACTTTTTTGCAGTTTTCACATTTAGAGAACGAATTTATGTTTGTTTTCCGTATCCCAACTTATTGGAACTTTGACACGTCAGCTAGATTGATAAGATTAGATACTTAATTAGTCGTTTGGCGTTTTGAAACCACAGTTTGCTCAACTGGCCTGACGTCACGACGCGGACAGTACGGAAATTGCCTGCACACACATTTTTTTGCATATAAGATCGATTATACGCATATCTACATATCAATGCACCGTCTAATTTTATATGATATTTTCAAGAACCTTTTTTTTTAACTATTCCTATTAAGTATTATATTTTCAAGATTTTTTGAAAATTTCAGATTCGCTAGCTAATATAACAGAAGGCTCGAATCGGTACAAGATATGTTTAAAGAAAAGAATCGATATATCATATGCTGTTTTATTTTGTTCTAAAGATTAGTTGTAGTCTTTTTTGCATTTCACAGTAGTAAAAAGATTAGTTATGTAAAAATAGAAAACATCATCGATTCACCGT